TTGGGAATGTTTCTTACATTCTGTAATCCTTTTTTTTAAACAATTCAGTAGAGCCTTTCCATCTTTCTTTATCTCATTATTTATGATCTTAGTTGTTAATTTTACTTGGGTAATTATAAAATCAAGTATATCATTTTCCCTTTCCTTACTATGTTCTTCTATTAGTTCATTGAGATAGCTTTCCCTGTTTTTTCTTGCTTTATCCTCAAAGTCTGCATTGTCATATGTTCTTCCCTATTACCCAAGGAAATAATACATCGACCTTTCTCTGCCTAGCAAACAAGCTTTCCTAATAGCTTGCACTGAAAACTACTTAGATCTATTTATCTTTCAAATTGTGTTTTATTATTATTAATTTTTGCAATGTCCTTTATATATTGTCCTAGCTGGACGCCCATGCTTTGCTACAAAATTATGTGTATAAATTGTCACTTACATCCTGCAGCTTAGTGTAAGTCTGTAACATCAGAGCATGTTAATATAAGGCAACTGGCAATTGGAAGAGAGGAGGAGGGGGAGTAGATTGTCCCAGCCCGCAGGCTGGATGAGTCACGTGCTGGCCACACCATGCCCAGTTTAGCAAAGGAGCAGCATCAGAGCGTGTTAATATAAGGCAACTGGCAGTTGAAACGGAGTTCTTTTCAGGAGGGGAGGGGGAGTAGAATGTCTAGCTTCTTAGCATCAGAGTGTTAATGTAAGGCAACTGGCAGTTGGGACAGAGTTCCTTTCTGGAGGGGAGGGAGAATAGAATGTCTAACTCCTAGCATCAGAGCATATATAGTATATATAATACTGTATATGAAATACTAATGATCTGATGGTCATTTTGAAAAATCCTTTCTTAGCGAGCACCTAGAAGCCAAGAGGAACATATGTGCCAAATTTCAAGTTTGTAGGCTTTACAGTTCTGGAGATTTCTTGATGAGTGAGTGGTATTTGGATTTTATATATATAGATTATTCCTCAGGTCCACCTTAACACATTAAGTTCCAAGATCCTTTATTTCTCCAACTTTTGGATTCCAGTCACAAGTCATTACATTCAAGTTGAATATGTCATTTAGCACTCCTGCAATTTGTCATAATGGCGTTTGCCATTATGTTTGTAGTAGGTGCCTCTATCCTCTTTTCACCCTAATCAATAAGATTCTCTCTCAGGTACTTATATTCCCACTGGAGCAACTAAAGTCATTGGTCAATTGAGGCTTGGTCAATTGGTCAATTGAGGCATAAAAGGGATAGCAACATGCCATTAATTAAATTTTAAAAAATTCAATCTGGACATGCTCATTGCGGCGTACAGTCTGGGCATTTGCCAGGCTGCACTTCCCATCCTGGGAGGTGGGAAGGCACCTGCCAGGGCAGGCCAGCCCTAATTATGTGTTTTGCATCTCACCGTGCCTTGGGCAGAAGTATAAATCCTTCCATCCCCCACTATCCAGTCAGAGTTGAAGAAGCTTCTTGGATGAGAAGTGAAATGTCTTCAAAGAAAAACCAAAAAGTCCAGTTGTCTCTTGAAGAAAAGAAAAAAAAGCACCTTTGGGAAACCCAAAGAAAAGGAGGTGGAAAGGAATAAAAAATAAGTTGAAAAGAAAGAAATACTAATAACAGCAAAAATGGCAGAGAAAAGAGCAAAGAAGATCAATAATTGGTCAGCAGCAGGGGAAGATGAACTGCATGGTTTTTGCTTGAAACATCTGACTGGTCTACACCAGTGGTGGGTTCCTCCCGGTTCGGCCGAGCCAGTAGCGGTGATGATATAACGTCACCAAACCAGTTCTCTTTGTTCGGGAGCTAGGCCCTCCCGCCCCCGCCCCCCACATTATTCTTACCTTTTATTTGGCTCCACCCTCAGCTGATTGGCTAGAAGGAAAAAACTATTTAAACTCTTGCTGCGGGGCTTCAAAGGACCGCCCTACAGCTGATCAGTGTTAAAAGGCAGTGTGGTGGTAGACCGGTGCCTCCAAAAACAAATAGGTAGACTGGTGCCTCCAAAAACAAATGAGTAGACCGGTGCTTCCAAATGGGTAGACCAGTGCCTCCAAAAACAAATGAGTAGACCGGTGCCTCCAAAGACAAATGGGTAGACCGGTACAGCTCTGCAAGCAGTTAAAGGCCTGGTAGACCAGTACCTCTGCTAAATCCTAAAGAATTGTCACATGACCATCAAACCACACCCACAAAATAAGCCACGCCCACAGAACCGGTAGTAAAAAATTTTAGAACCCACCCCTGGTCTACACCCACTTGTTTCCAAGCAGTTTAACATATACTGCAAAGAGGTGAAATTGAAGAGTGGCTAACATCTAATAAAGGGTATCTGATAATGAAAGATCCAGCAAAAGGGGCAGCACAGGCCAATTATCTGCTTACCAGTAACTTTCAAATTGCTAACTAGTGTGGTAGCTGATGGAATCCAATAGCACCTGAAAACAAGCTTTTTCCACCTGAGCAGAAAGGAAACTGCCCCAATAGCACAGGAAGAAAAGATCAACTACTAATCGACAAAATGATTTTGGAAAACTAAGAGAAGGAAGACCAACTTGAATGTAGCGTGGATTGATTACAAAAAGGCATTTGACTCTCTGCCACATGACTGGATAATCAAGTGCCTAGAAATAACAGAAGTTCAGTAGAAACTTCAGAAACTATGTGCAAAGATTGATGGCACAATGGAAGACATGGTTGCAGGTCAATGGTGAGAGACTGGGAGTGGTTAATATCAAGAGAGCACAATTTCAAGGAGATTCACATTCACCACTAATATTTATCATTGCACTGATTTCTCTGTCAAAATTACTAAATAATTTGGGCCATACCTATCAAATATTTTTTTTTTAAAAAATGCCAGGCTATCCCACCTCCTTTATGTGGACAATTTGCAGTTATTTGGAAAATTTTTCAATTTCAATTTCAGTTTAATTCAATTTATTTGCTGCCCCTCTCCGAAGACTCAGGGCGGCTCACAATACATTTAAAATCCTAATAAAAAACATTTAAAAGTTATTTGGAAAAACGTGTGAAATGGAATTGCTGCTCAACACTATTCATATATACAGCCAAAATATTGCAATGGAGTTTGGACAGGACAAATGTATCACACCATTAAACAGGAAAAATAGTGAAAACTGAAGGAATCAAGATGCCCTATGGAAACAATATCAAGAGTCTGGATGAAGATGATAACTACAGATACCTGGGTATCCTTCAGGCTGACAACATCAAGTACAATGAAGTCAAGAAAAAATCAAGAGAATGAAGAAGATCTTAAAGTCCAAACTCAACTGAGGAAATACCATTAAGGCAATCAACACCTGGGCAATTCCAGCCATTAGATACACAGTTGGAATAGTGGACTGAACTCAAGCAAAACTAAAAGCTATGGATAGGAAGACCAGAAAAATAATGACAATGAATCATGCCCTTCATCTTTGCAGTGACATTGATTGACTCTACATACCCAGGAAAATGTTGCAAGTACATCAGATAGTTGAAGAAGAAAAAAGTGCAGTGGAAAAATATCTGAAGGACAGTGAAGAAGATGCCCTGAAGCTAGTATACCAGGAAAACTTACTGATTACTGGAGAGACCAAACTGGCCTACAAGAAAAATGATACAAAAGGCAAAAAAATCTGGCTAATGGATGTGTCAATACCTGGAGACAGAAGAATAGAAGAGAAGGAACTGGAGAAGATAATAAAATACAAAGACCTGCAAATAGAAATAGAACAACTGTGGCATAAGCAAAGTAGTACCAAAATTAGTAGGTGCCCAGGGGGCAATCCCAAAACAACTGGAGCACCACTTGAACACCATCGTCATTGACAAATTCACCATCAGTCAGTTGCAAAAGGCAGCTTTACTCAGAACAGTTTACATCCTGTGAGAATATCTATAATACCATGAAACATCCACATCTGCCTATTCCAGGTGCTTGGAAACGACTCGATAGATATACAAAAATGCCAAATCCAGTCTGAATATCTGGCTGACTATGCAACAAACCAATAATTATAATAATGTGGTCATTAAGCAAATTTGGCTTCTGCTATTGATTTGCTTGTTGGAAAGCAGCTGGGAAAGTTACAAATAGTCACATGACCCCAGGATGGTAAATACATGCCAGTTGTCAAGCACCAGAATTTTTATCACATGACTATTGGGATGCTGCAACATTCGTAAGTGTGAAAACTGGTCACAAGTCACTTTTTTAGTGGTGGTGTAACTTGAAATAGCCTCTAAACAAATGGTTCTACGTCAAGGAATCCTGTACTGTTTGAGTTAAGAGGTTACCAGTCTTTGGAAACAAATTGTATATATAATTCCTAAATTAGTCTGATCAATTCCACATTATCAGAATCACTTTACTCATACTGGCTTCATGCATTAGATTAATCCATGAAGCCCCTGACTTCTCCAGTCAGAGCTGAAGAAGCTTCTTGGATGAGAAGCAAAATGTCTTCAAAGAAAAACCAGAAAGCCCAGTTGCCTCTTGAAAGAAAAAGAAAAATAGCACCTTTGGGATATCCAGTGACAAAATAAACGACCCCCAGAAGGGCAGGGTTACCTACATACCCATTCAGAATTAAAGTAAACTTCTATTGTATTCCAAATAATCATCTTCTGGCCCTCCTTAAGATCCAATAAATCTAATTTCAGCCATTTTGTGAAAGGCAAAAAAAGTGATTTCCCCACCCACGGGCATAGTTCCCACTTTCCTAAAAGCAAAGCGGTTGCCATAGATACAAGTTAATGAACGACCGCTTCTGGTTTTACCATTCCACATTCCATATTTTAAAACAGGAGGGGGGCGGTTAATACTACATTCATGGAAGGCACACACCCCCATTGCACGAGCCTGTCATTTGTGAAGGTTTCTCTCTTCCCCAGCTTCATGCTTTGTTTATACGCTTGTGCCTTCTAACGCCCGAGATAATTTTAACCATTTATTTAAAAAAACAACAACAAGGAGCTGTCAGGGCGTGGGAACAAAATACGAACCTGCTGCACATAAGATTCGGAACAATAGTGAGAAGTCCAGGAAGGGGTTGCTGATGTATTTGGTAGACTTTGAATTGGGGTCTGCCAATTCCGAAAGGGACTTTCACAGCTCTTCTTCATCTCTAGAGGGGCAAAGAAGCATCAGAGATTCAACCTCTTCCGATTATTTGACATATATCCTATTCATCAATATTCAGCCAAGGCTTTGACGTATTTGAGATTGAGAAGCACATATCTAAAAAACCTGTTTAGTGCCATGTCTTTAAAGAGACAGTCTTTTAAGGATTTCAAAATCTCTGATTTTCTCAGTAATAGGGGAGATTGCTATTATATAGGAAAATGCCCTGAACAAAACAGGCAATTGGTTTATTCAGTACAGAGAAGCAGAATAGGCACCTGAATACTGCAATCTTGTCTGGACTTCATTCAATAGAGATTATGCACAGATGATTATTTTTAAACAGCAGGAGGAACAATAGCAATAGCAATGCTTCATAGTCCTTTTACAGCCCTCTCTAAGCTGTTTACAGAGTCAGCCTATTGACCCTAACAATCTGGGTCCTCATTTTATTGACCGCAGAAGGATGGAAGGCTGAATCAATCTTGAGCCTGTTGATATAGATAGATGGCAATAGCACTTAGACTTATATTCCGCTTCATGGTGCTTGTACAGCCCACTCTGAGAGGTTTACAGAGTCAGCCTATTGCCCCAACAATCTGGGTCCTCATTTTACTGATCTCGGAAGGATGGAAGGATGAATCAACCTTGAGCCTGGTGAGATAGATGACAATAGCAATAGCACTTAAGACTTATATTCCGCTTCATGGGTGCTTGTACAGCCCTCTCTGAGAGGTTTACAGAATCAGCCTATTGACCCCAACAATCTGGGTCCTCATTTTACTGACCTCAGAAGGATGGAAGGCTGAATCAACCTTGAGCCTGGTGAGATAGATAGATAGATAGATAGATAGATAGATAGATAGGTGGCAATAGCACTTAGACTTATATACCGCTTCACAGTGCTCCACAGCCCTCTCTAAGCGGTTTACAGAGTCAGCTTATTGACCCCAACAATCTGGGTCCTCATTTTACTGACCTCAGAAGGAAGGAAGGCTGAGTCAACCTTGAGCCTGGTGAGATAGATAGATAGATGGCAATAGCAATAGCACTTAAACTTATATTCCGCTTCACTGTGCTTGTACAGCCCTCTCTGAGAGGTTTACAGAGTCAGCCTATTGACCCCAACAATCTGGGGTTTCATTTTACCCACAACTATGCTGAAACTAAAATGTAAAAAAAAACAAGCAAACATAGGCTTGGTGCAAGTCGAAGCAGCTAAGTGAGGAGCTTCCTTCCCTGTACAACCCCCTCTCCCACACCCACCCATCCCTTCTTTCGCGGTCCAGGTTTCTCTCTCTCTGTGTAGCACCTGCAGCTCCGCCGCTCCCGCCGCCCTTCTTCTCCCTCCGCACCTCCCTCCACACGGCCACAGCTCCGCTTTTTTCCGCGGCCCCGCCCTTCCTGCGTTCCACAGCAAAACGCCAGAGCGCGCTTCTCGCGTCGAACGGCTTCCCAGCCGCCTCCCCTCAGCCGCTGTTGCGGAGGAGGAAAAGCGGAGAGCGAGAGCAAGGCTGTGCGTCGTCAGCCCCCAGAAGCTCGGGTTTGTTTTTTTTTTCCCTTCTCCTTTCGAGAACGCCCAACGGGGAGCATAGCTGCGCCTGAGGGGGGACCGAGCTTGCCGCCTTTCCGGACGGGTGGTGGCGGTGGTTGTTTGCGGAGAGGCGCGCTTTTGCAACAGGCAGGCAGGCAGCCGGTTGGTTGGTCAGCTCCGCCTCGGAGCCAAAAAAAAAACCCCACACCATGATCGGTGTGAACAGCATCAACAGCAGCGGCAGCGCCGGGCGCCTCCGGACGCGCTCCATGTGCTCGGTGCGTTACGGGCGCAACTGCCGGGGCATGGAGACCTTCTGCTACGGCTGGCCACAGCGCTCTCGGACCCTCAAGCCCGTCCTCTACACCGACCTGGTAGTCAACCGCTTGCAGAGCCGCCGGAAGAAAAAACCGGTAAGGATGTAATGAAGGGCGAGGCTGGGGTGCCGCAAGTTTCCCAGGCGGCGCTCTGACTGACGTTACCACCTTCTTCTCCTGAGGAGAAAAAGGGGGTCTTATTATAAGGGGGGTCGAGAGTTTGCGGTTAGGTAGGTAGGCCGCTCTTGGGCTGGCTTTATTTATGAGGAGAATGAGCTTCCTCACCGCTTGGCAATTCGAAGATTACAAATGTTTCCTGAGGAGAAAAACAGGGGTCTTACTATAAGGGGGGCGAGAGTTTGCCGGCTAGGTAGGCCGCTCTTGGGTTGGGTTTATTCATGAGGAGAATCTTCCTCACCGCTTGGCAATTCGAAGATTCAAATGTTTCCTGAGGAGAAAAAGGGGTATTAAAAGGGGGGCGAGAGTTTGCGGTTAGGTAGGCCGCTGTTGGGTTGGGTTTTTATGAGGAGAATGATCTTCCTCACCGCTTGGCAATTAAAAGATTACAATTGTTTCCTGAGGAGAAAAAGGGGGTCTTATTATAAAGGGACGAGAGTTTGCCGTTAGGTAGGTCGCTCGCTCGCTCGCTCGCTCTTGGGCTGGCTTTATTCATGAGGAGAATCTTCCTCACCGCTTGGCAATTCGAAGATTACAAATGTTTCCTGAGGAGAAAAAGGGGTATTAAAAGGGGGGCGAGAGTTTGCGGTTAGGTAGGCCGCTCTTGGGTTGGGATTTTATGAGGAGAATGATCTTCCTCACCGCTTGGCAATTAAAAGATTACAATTGTTTCCTGAGGAGAAAAAGGGGGTCTATTATAAAGGGACGAGAGTTTGCCGTTAGGTAGGTAGGTAGGTCGCTCGCTCGCTCGCTCTTTGGGCTGGCTTTATTCATGAGGAGAATCTTCCTCACCGCTTGGCAATCCGAAGACTTTTCTCTCCTGACGAGATTGGGCTCGGCTGCGCTTTGGAGGGCAGATATAAGGCGCCAGGTTTTCAGAGTGGTCCCCCCACCCACCACCAAAGGAGAGATTCTCCCGAATTGTAAATCCTCCCCACCCCTCACCCCCCACCGCAACAAACCCGGGCTTCAAGATGCGAAGAAATGTGGTGGTTATATTATTGGCACGGGCTCTTTTTGGTGCATGGAATGAATGCACACGGCCCGAATTTGCGCATGAATTAACCGCGGGGCCTATGTGTGCACAAAATGACGGGGGGGTGGGGGTGGGGATGGCGTTGTGTGTGTCAAGACACTCCCTCGATGGTGGTCGGTGGTCTTAAAGAGGGTGGTGGGTGACTCTCCGTGTACGTGTCCTGCAGCCGGATAGAGAGAGCCCTGTAGGTCTCTGCCTCAAGGTTCATCTCAAGGAGTCATTTGTTCTTGAGTTCACTTGATTCAGAGCACATCATAAATAGATGGCAGCACCTATAATAGAACAATTAGAACTGGAGAAAAAACAATGGCTCCCAACCTGCCTTCCATTGAGGACCTGTATATTGCACCATTCAAAAAAGAGGGCTGTGAAAATATCTACAGACCCCTCACATCCTGGACATAAATTGTTTCAACTCCTACTATAGGGCACTGCACACCAGGACAACTAGACGCAAGGACAGTCTCCCCTCCCCCTCCCCATATCATCACTGCTAAACAAATAATTCCCTCATCACTGTCAAACTATTCACTAAGTCTGCATTACTATTAATCTTCTCATCATTCCTATCACCCATCTCCTCCCACTTATGACTATATCCATGTTGTTTGTATCTTTACAACTTATGTTGTTTTTATTGTTTCCTAGTATGATTTTATTGCTTATTAGTACCCTATGACTATCACTAAGTGATGTATCTTATGATTCTTGACGAATATATTTTATTTTTTCTTTACATACACTGAGACCATATGCACCAAAGACAAATTCCTTGTGTGTCCAATCACACTTGGCTAATAAAGTACTCTATTCCATTCCATTCCATTTCCATTCCCATTCCCACTCCCATTCCCACTCCCATTCCCAAATAAATTAAGCAGGCCAGACCTCATTAATAGATACATCCCAGGGCTAGAATAGGAAGCTGGGGGGTGGGGATCTTGAAAGAAAGCAGTGACAATCACTTGAAGTATTCTCCTCTCTTGCTGGGCTTTTTAAAATTTGAATTTGTATATATTAGTTTTTTTTTATTATTATTAAGCGCTGTAAGCTATGCAAAGACATTTTATTTTAAAAAAAATATTTATATGATCACTTCCCTGGGCCATGCAATTGCATTAGTTTGTATAATCTATTGTACATTTCTCTTCATATAGATCATGACAGATCAATCCCAAATCAAGTTTAAAAACATATTGAAAGAAATCTACACATTTTCCTTAAAAGGAAATTCTAGCATTCTAAATTGGTTAAAAAAGAGCTTTTTTTTTTGAAAAAAAAACTGCAACGCACATGTATGCTACACAGTGTAATACACATGTACCACACATATGCATACACAATATCCTCATCCTTTTGTTCTACACAATTCTGGTAATTTGAAGGAGTGATGGCTGACCTGAATAGATTTCAGTTGCACACCTCTGGGCAGATGCAAAAGAGGGACAAGTGTCACAACTGAACATATAAAGCTATTCTGTGTATATTTTGTATTGTGAGAGGGCACAAGAACAAATTAAGGCATTTGCTAGTTTTCTTTCTTTCATGGTAACTAATTCCTGGGGACCATAATGCTTTCTTAAGAAAAAAGAATGTGAGCAGTGTATTCTCTCTCTGTCTGGGACTGCATAAACATTTGGATGTGGAAGTATTAAACATCTAATGCTGCTGTTCATCTCCACTCGTTTTCTGAGTTGGTATGGAATTGCTGGTTGAACCCAGTGGAACCAACTTCTGCATATTCGTGTCAGGTCATTCAAAATGAGAGCACATAGTTGGAATAGTTAGGCAGCAGTGGCAGGTGCTCCTCCAAGAGAGTTATCGCCCAAAATGGGGGACGGGAACTATCTCTCAAGACAATGGAGTCTCCAGGGGAGAAAGCAGATGATTCGTCAGGCAAGAATAATAAATATTTGCCCAATTTCATTTGCCAGTTGGAGAAAAACCTAAGGAATTAAATGACTCATTAATTAGAATTCTTTTTTTTTATTAGAATTCTTTTATTGGCCAAGTGTGATTGGACACACAAGGAATTTGTCTTTGGTGCATATGCTCTGAGTGTACATAAAAAGAAAAGATACATTCGTCAAGAATCATAAGGTACAACACTTAATGATAGTCATAGGATATAAATAAGCAGTCAAATCATACTAGGAAACAATCAATATAAATCGTAAGGATACAAGCAACAAAGTTACAGTCATACAGTCATAAGTGGAAGGAGATGGGTGATAGGAATGATGAGAATATTAATAGTAATGCAGACTTAGTAACTAGTTTGACAGTGTTGAGAGAATTATTTGTTTAGCAGAGTGATGGCATTTGGGAAAAAAACTGTTCTAGTGTCTAGTTAAATTTAATAAATAAATAAATAATTGTTCTGGTGCTCAGTGCTCTATAGCGTTGTTTTGAGGTTAGGCGTTGAAACAATTTATGTCCAGGATGCAAGGGGTCTGTAAATATTTTCACAGCCCTCTTTTTGACTGGTGCAGTATACAGGTCCGCAAAGGAAGGCAGGTTGGTAGTAATTGTTTTTTCTGCAGTTCTAATTATCCTCTGAAGTCTGTGTCTGTCTTGTTGGGTTGCAGAACCAAATCAGATAGTTATAGAGGTGTTTTAAAACTAAGGAATTAAAAATCAAGTGTACAGGTAAGATAAATCAAATGTACAGGTACAGATTAGGTGAAACTGGATTACTGGAATCTATCTCCAGTGCCTCATTGGAGATTCAGAATTCCAGGTAGTCTAAGTAGATCTTGTGGAATTCACACTTAGACAGCTTCGCATAGAGTTGGGCTTCCTGGAGTTTCCTGAGTACGCCTTCAGGTGTTCTTCAGAGGTCTCAATATATATTAATATATCATTCAAATACACCAAGACTCCCTTGTACAGGTGCTTGTGCAGGAATTCATTTATCAGTTGCATAAATATGGCAACCTGAATGACATTACTTGGAACTGATAGTAGCCTAGGGGACAATTAAATGCTGTTTTCCACTCGTCTCCTTCCTTAATCCTCACTCGGTAATATGTCTCCCTCGAGTCCAGCTTCGTGAAGATTTTTCCTTTTGCCAAATAATCTAGCATGTCCCTCATAAGTGGGAGAGGGT